CATTCAAGACTGATGGGGACAGGCCTTGCAATGACACTGACCAGCTGGCACCATGGACTTGTGTAAGTCCAATTTGCTTAAGCTGCCTCTAACTAGATCTTCCTCTACAGTGGGCAGTGTTTCAGTTCCCCAGACTCTGCCACTAGGCTCAAGAACCTCCCTGCTCAGGGAGGCATAAAAGCAGACCTTACCACTACGTATCTCACACACCTTATGTCACTACTACAGGCCTGGAATGCCACAATTGCCAAAGCTTTTGAAACATACTAAGGTTCCCCTGGAACTGATTGGGAAAGATAAAGTTGTCCCAAAACAGAAGAAATGCGTAGACTAAAGGGCGATTTAGATGGTTAATACACCGCACTAACCTAGAGATCAACATAGCAGAGCAGGACAGAAGATGTCTGATTACATACCAGCCTTTCAAACTGCACATACACATGCACTATTTGTGCTCCAAGTGACTTCTCTACTGTCGCTGTTTGCTTCTGTTTCTGAACATCCACCTGGAGCTTTAGAGCCTGGAATAAAACACCTAGAATAAAAATAGTCTTACCTTGTACTTCTGGGTAGAGAGACATGTAGAGCAGGCACCACAGTAATGTGTTGGAAGTAGTGTCTGTGCCTGCAATGAAGAGGTCACCAATGATAAAAAATAGGTAGTCTTCATTAAAACTGCTCTCCTTGTTGTTCTTTTCTTCTTCCACATGGATGAAGTACATATCAATGAAGTCCCTGGGATTTGCTGCATCCAGTGTATCCCTGTGCTGTGCAATTATTTTCTTTAGAAAAGCAGTAATGTCTAATTCTGTTTTCCTAAGTTCCCAGAAAGGCCCGAAGGGAAGGTAGTACAGCCAAGGGCAGATATTGACCAGGATCATGTAGCTGTTGACGCTCAGCTCTAGTGCACGGGCCATGTTCTTCAGCATCGTTTTGAACTCAACGTCTTCGTAGTTGAAACGCCTGCCAAAGGCCATGGAGCAGATAACATTGGACACTGCGTTGCGAATGATCGGAAAGGGATTAAATGAATCCTCTCCATGCTTCAGCATTTCCTCCTTTATAAACTTCAGCTCCTCAATGATTTTAGGCTCTAAGCTGTGTCTTCCTACTCCAAAATAACGCAGTGTTGAAAGAGAGAATTTCCGTTGTTGCTTCCAGACAGGGCCATAAGGTGCAAAAATAACACCTAGAAGAGAAAGGAAGAGTATGAAACCAAAATTCTCTATTTTCAAGGAGAAATAGTTAGACAGGCCTGCAACCCAAGAGCCATCAGAGAGGGAAATGATACATGGCAAATGCCATTAGAGCGGGAAATGACACATGACAAAGCACTGGGCCAGGAGCTAAAGGAAGAACATAAGGTTCTTTGTAATAGTTTTGGGAAATCCTGTCCCTCCTTTTCCCAATCAGTGAAATGAATATAATAGCTACATTGATAGTTTTATTAATCTTTGCAAGACAATACTAGATGGAGAAAAGATACTGTAGATGCTTTATTACAAATGCTAATAATTTTGTAGGAACTGTTACTCTGGGACATACGTTAGCTATAGCCTTTTCTCCTCAATGTCCTGAGACACAAATTCCTTCAGCAAGGCAGAACAGAAGATACTAAAACACAAACCAGTTTGAGTTTCTTCTTCCCTTCATATTCTACAAACTTCTCAATACAGTTTAAGTGTGTAGATATTTCTATTTTAAGCAAAGTTTTTCTTTAAATATGTATGTTGCAAACAAACTGGGAAGGTGAAGGTAGGTTCAGAGACACTTGGCAAAAACCTACTTGATTTGCATCTCAACAGTTCTGACGCCTCCAGGCACATGTTCTGCATGATTGTGCCATTATGAAACACCATTGAAATTAAAACCCTTAGCTTCAAGTATAAATATTGCTCACTTACCAATAGAAGTATCTCTTCTGTTGAATTAACAGACCACCCAAAAGATACTGCAGCATAACAAAAGACACAACCTGCTATTTCTAATGTACTCCAAGGCTAACCTGAGAAAGTTTAAAGTCACCAAAACACCAGCTAGTTCTGCTTTTGTTGTTCTAGTTAAATGACACCAGATTTGTTTTTTTCTGGAAATAAAAAGTTACTTTCTAAAAGTAGCATCAACTCTTCTGCCAACTGCAAATGTTAAATCTAAAAGAAAAAGAAATGGCCATAAGAAGTCAGCAACAGAAAGGTGCACCATGTTTCAATGCTTCACACTACCTACTTTTCTATTACAACTTAAAGTTCATAGCCTCTCATGAATAAAGGGGAATAAACAAAAAATAAATCTACAGCCCAAACCAGAAATCTGTAGATGTGTAAATGTCAGCACTGTACTCAGAAGAGTCTGTAACCCCAAAAGTATAAACAGTTCAGTGTAACATAAAGCTGGTGATCTTTCTGGTCAGATTTTCTGATTACATCTACTCACAGTAGTAACAACAGATTGAAGAACATAAACACATAATCTAGTTTCAAAAGCCCTAAACAAAATAAGCAGAACTTTATGAAGAGTCAGAATAAGCTAAGAATCAGCTGAACTCCATTTCCTCTGCATGAAGACATTCCTTTGGCAATCTGCTCAAATAGTTACCCCCTAGCACTTTAAAAACAGAAATCAAAACTTTTCAGATTCCCTTTCTCAAGTAACGTTTCCTGGTAGCACTGGTGTCATCAAGTAGGGGAGGTGAAAAAGCAGGCTTATTTGGGGCTGAATTTGGTCAAGAACCCACTTGGGGTTTGTGGCTGGGGTGGGGAAAAAACTGTGGGTTTCTTGGAACAAAACAACGTCATCACTGTTTCTATCCCACAACAAATACCTTCAAAACAGACTATACATCCACCATCTCTTCCCCTTTCTGTCATTAGGAAAATTAGTTTCAGGATTCAAATACCTTCATAAAAGAAAACAGACCTATTGTCTTGAATGTAAAGACGACTTTCCTAGCCACACAGGAAGGCTAACACCACCACCAAACCACCCTGCACTCAGTGAGTCTCTCCAGCAGTCCTGCGCAGGGCATGGCTGCATGGCACGATGTCTCCTGAAGTCCCCAAATCCCAAACTACTGCAGAATACCAATAATTGATTTGCAAATTGGGAAAGAACAACATAGGAAGCAGATTAATGAGGAAGAAGAGCAGAATGTTAGAGTAACAGAGATTAGTGAAGAAAGAAACTGGATCACTGCCAGGCAATAATAATGGAATAGTATTTCACTGTTTTCAAAGAAAATCTCTGCATGACCTGAAAAGTTAACGTACCCAGCACGAACAAAACAAACACACAGAAAACCATAGTTTGTTTTATTCTCATTGTTTTACAGGAAAAATTCAAATCCTCACAAGAAGGAAGTTCTAGCAAAGACTAATTCCCCACCCCCCAAATTTCTCACTTCTTGCTTTAGTGTTGCTGCAATACTGGGAACTTTGACATGGTTTAGTGGTGGGCTTGGTAGTGTTATGATAATGGTTGGACCTGATCATCTTAAAGATCTTTTCCAACCAAAATGATTCTATGATTCTATGAAAAGCAGAATTCACAACATTTAACTTCTGTACTGTTCAGTGTCAACATCTGGATGTGCTTAGGGCAGGACTACACATGTAGATGACCACTCAAGCGCCATCCACTCTAGAGCTCAAGTCTTTGCTACCTCTCATAGCTATAGAATACAAAAATGCTTTACTAAAACAAAAATGCCAAAACCTATTTTCCCCCAGTCTAGTATCTCCCTTTCCACAGGCATCTGCACACACATCGGAAAAAGAGTTAGGAACTGACCTTGACCTTCTCCCTTAAGTTCTCCCCCCACTTCCCATTCAGCCAAGGTCTCTCCTCTTTGCTATTCAGCTGTTGAAATGCAGCATTTACCATTTCTGATACTTTTACTTGCTCTCCCCGCGGCACAATATTTTATTTCCATCTCACACGCAACAGAGCCACACACAGCCGAGATAAGCCCTTCTTTCTTCCATAGCATACTCAGCAGGCCAGCTCAGAATAAAGACAAAACTACAACAGAAAATGTAGCTTAAAAGAAAACAGCCTCATAAATTTACACCAGGTAGCTTGTTTACAGAACGAAGATGTAGGAATCCAGAATGGACGCTTACTGCCTTGAAGCATCCCAGCGTTGTAGTACCCAAGTCGCGAGCAGTAGATCTGAAGTTACACAATCATCCTGCTTCTACCGTTTCCTTTCCTAGTACACACGAACACAACTGTTGCTGCCCTGATCTGCAGCGAAGTCTCTCCCATGAACCCTCCCTGACACTAAGTGCGGGAGGCTCCCCGACCAAACTTAAGAGTGTTGTAACCCATCCACCTCCTCCATGAACCACACACAAAAATATACTTGTTAGCCCAGAGCTCTTGTGGTCAATATATGAAAACTGAGGTGAGAGATTTACATCGTACCTACAACACAAAAACCGAAACAAACCACAAAGCTTTCAGAAAACATGTATCGCTCACCTCTTACCCCACTGGTTCTGCAGCAACTGCCTTCCCAGTAGCACAAACGCAGCATCGCAGAGGTCTGGTCATCTCCTATGTGCCACCACTAAACCCAAGCAATCCCACTGAGAGCAGCTGCGACTTCCAGCGGCTTTTGGAGAACCTCCTTGTGCAAGAGCCAGGCAGGCCCACGCTGCCCACATTCACTGACTTTTCCCTTTGGGCACTCGAAATACACTACCCCTGCAGTTCATTCTACAATACTCTCGCATCTGCAGCAATTCAGCTTGTTGCGCCAGCTAATGTAAGCAACACGTAACAGCTCGGTACATCTTACGGACAACTGAGCAACCCTCCTGTAACAGTCCCCAGGCCTGAGCGCAGCTACGGTGGCCTTCCAGATAAAACTAAATGTAAAGCAACGTAACTTCCCCGCCGCAGCGCAACACAGGCAGGCACAGTCCCTGCACTTGGCCGCAGCATGCACTGGACAACAGGCTCCTGACACTTTTGACTCCCCGGGAGCATCCACCTGTGGAAGCTGCTACCTGCCCCGGCTACTCTTATGTCAACAATGTCGAAAAGACAACTGTCTGCAGAGAACAAAAAGTACAGAAAATTCACAGCATTCAAGGAAAGAGAAATCCACCACGAGCCTAAACATGTGCTTTTACAGCACTGCTAAAACTCATCTAAAGTCTCACTGCTCTTCCCCTTTCCTCCCTCAGTCCTTGATAAATGTATTGTACCTAAAAATGCACTATAACAACAACTACATCCCAGTAAGATCTGTCTCAGACCAGAATCATTAAACCAGTATCATCAATAATTTATTTTTTTATCCTTTATACCAATTACAGCATTGGTACCTGATTGCTTTTTTAATAAACATGATCTAGGTCCATCGCTTTCCTTTTATCTTTACTGGGGTAATTCTGGCACGGTAAAAAATTCAAGATAAAAAGTTTCAGGCACTTAACCAATAGACTATCCTCAAAAAAACCAAAACAAGACAAAAGACAAGTTTCACAACACAGTTACCACATTAACAAGCTTCCTGGGCTACCCCTCCTAAAGCGGAAAAGGAAAGGCAGTTTTCCACAAACACCGAGATCTAATGGACCTAAAGACTAAACACGAAGAAATTCTAACTGCAGTATGCCATCACGGGTTTAAACTCCCCATGCCATTTTTCTGTGACAGCGAGTAAACTCTCTTTTGATCTATTAAAAGAACCCAAACATGCTCAGTAAGTTTTGACAAGCAGAGCAACACACCGCAAACATCTCAGCGGCAGCAGCCCGCACGCAGGCAGGGCAGGAGGTGCAGCTATGGCCACAGAAGCCCGCTCTTAGCCATCATCGCCTTGGCAAGAACTGGGGAAGCACACAGTTACTTCACACCGCTGCCAAAGTATTTCTGTCACCAGCAGAGCAATGGACACACACCC